CTTTATTAGTGAAACTATTTCACTAAAAATAACTTTATTCTCTTTCTCTATTTCTATAAATATATCATTAAATACTCTAAAATATTAATATTTACTTAGAGATAAAACTAAAATAAGGATTCAATGCTTTACTGAAAATTAGAAATGTCAATGATTATAAAGAAAAAATAAAGTCTAAAATAAAGAAAAAATAACGCCAACAACACGCACATAGAATAATATATATTCACTTCTAACTTTTTACACAGAATAATATATATTTACTTATATATATTTGATCTAAAGTAGTCTCATTTATTAATTAGCAAATTTCTGACTGCATTACTTCATTTATATTCCCGTAAAATATAATAATCCACTCAAAGTAATTAACATTAATACTTTACTTAAACTAATCTTAATAACTCAACTATAGGTATAATTAAAATAAAATTAGGCTTAAAACATATTTTTAATCCTTACAAAATGTATAAGTATTGATTTTGGTTCCTGCAAAAAAGATTCTTTGATTTTCATTTCTCTAAAATTTAGAATGATTGTATTTAGTCTATAAGACTATGAAATAACTTTAACTTCTTATTTATTTATTAAAAGGTTAAGTTGTCATAATCTCAAGTGTTACCTATATCTATCACTGATATTGTGTTAGTGTATGACTTCACCAAATATTTTTATAGGTTCTTAAAATGAATATTATTTATTTACCTTAAAATTATTGTTAAGAATTAAAACACTACAAAAAAAAACTCATATAGTGACAAACAACTTATAGTGATACAATATTTATCATTAAAAACTACTTTTATATATATCATAGATAAAATATTTGTTAGTATATTATTAAAAAGTGTAAATATGGACTATAGTGACATAAAATATATATTATTAATTTTTATTTAAAATTAACATTAAAATTATATGTAGTTATATGTTATATCTATATATTTTGTATTTATAATGACACTTTTTATATGTCATTGTTTGTAACATTTCATGTACTAAAAATATTGATTTTAAATTTTAAAAGGATGAAAATCAAAGCAAAATATTTTATAAGAACTAAAATTAAAATTTATTCATTTTACAAAAATTAAAAATATATTAAAAAGACTAAAAATAATATTTACATATTTTAAAAAGAAGAAAAACAAAAAAAAATATATAAAGAATAAGATTAAAACTAACTCATTTTATCGGGACTAAACATTTTTGTTACAAAATTATGTGTTGAAATTTTAAAACAAAACTAAAAAGAAATAGAATTTTGAAATGGAGAGAGTAATGAGGTGGGAAATCGTGTACATTTTTGAATCCATAAGATAAAGTTGGTTAATAAATGCTGTGAAAGTTAGTATACTTTGACAAGTTTTTAATACAGTCAACAATGTATTCAGCAAGAAATTATTTAAGCTCAATTAAGTAAGCTAGCTATATCATTTATTCATCTGCCAGTCACCAAACATAGCATGAGAAAATTTCAACGCAAGCAGTTTAATCCTGCCACATTATTGCCATAACTAAATGGGCACCAATATGCCTCTTATATCAAGTAGAGAATGGTATGACTGTTAATGTATATCAACCCCCAATATGAATTTCTATCTTCCATGTTAGAGACTTTTTTTTAATGGAAAGATTTTTTAAAAAAATTAATTTCTTACATAATTTAATTTTTATTTATCACAATTATTTATAAATTAAATTTCAATATTTTTAAAATAAATTATCAGAAATAAAAATAATATTGTATTACAATATAAATTATTTATCAAAAATTAAAATATAATTTATACGTTTTAAAATATCTATTTTATATAAATTTTAAATATAATTTATATTTTCAAACAATATTTATTTATATATTATAAATTTTAATTAAATATAATAAATATTAATTTTGTTAATTTTTATTTCTTGTTCATTTATTTTTATAAGATCCTGCATACAAAGGGAAATGAGTTAGTTGTTATTTGAGCTGGATTTGTTAAATGTTTTAACCAAACCCGTCTCATTAAGAAAACAAAATCAAAATTTATTTGCCCGATTGTATGAGTCAAATTTATTTTTGATGGGCTTAACATTAAATGCTGTGAGTTGTGACTAGTTTGAGTTTGTACAATTATGAGTGAGTATAAAACCATAAATATGTATACTATGCATGGTATGGTTTTGTTCGATAATGGTCGAGTTATCAACAAAAAAGAAGTTAGATAATGATTGAGAAATAAAAGTAGAATTTTTCTTTCAGAAAACTATTAATATTTAATGTTACATTTTTACATTTTATAAAATATTTTCTTATTGATGTATAAAACATTTGAAGCAATGGATAACAAATTTGTGTGTAATAATCAACTAGGTTAGAGTAGGGAAGATTTGGATAAGTTTTATGATTTTTTTTTTATTTATCAAAATCACAATAGAATTAATATTAAGATTTAAATTTAAGATCATGTGTAGAGACTATTTTAACCTTTTTATGACTAATTTTAGTAATTCGATAAATTTTTATGATTTTTATTTGAATTTCATAGTTGTGGTTGGATGAAAAAATTGTACATTATAAAAATGTTAATTTTATATATAAAAAAGAGATATAGTCATTTTGTAAATTGTAATTTCATCATAAAATATATATTTATTACATAATTTTTATATTTATAATTGTGACACCCTTTACCCCATCATCAATTCACAATTAAATAATAAGAAAAGTTTCTTTTTTTTTTCTTTTTGGGTAAATAAAATCTTTCATATTTAGGACAATGTCTAGCAATCCTCCTTAAACTCTGTTAAGAGGACAGATATAAGATTGAAACATTGTCATCCTACCAAAGAGAATGATACAAATGAAATTGTTTATAATTATTCTAAAAAAATCATGAAAGGAGGAATTATAAGAGCAAAGCAACATCTAATGGGAAAGAAGAGAAATGTTGCACCTTGTCAAAGTGTTCCACAAGAGGTTAAAGATGAGTTGTGGGCACTTAAGAAAAATAAGAAGATGAAAGAAAGTGAGTCATGCCAAAGAATAATGGAAGATGTGACTTTTGGTAGTGAAGACTAATATTGGAGGGAGATCTAAGAGAATTAGAAGTTGAGACACTTGGGACCGGTGAAAGGAAGAAGGTTGCTATGAAAAAGGGGCCTATTGACCTTTTTTGTAAACGTCCACAAATAACAATTGCAAAAAACAAGAAGGAGAAATTAAAACAAATAAGTATAAGGGAGCGTTGTGACAAGGAAGCTACAACACGGGTCCACCAATATATAGCCCGGTTTTGGTTTCAAACTGGACTATCTTTTAACATGATCAAATTGGAGAGCTTTCATGACATGGTTACAACTATTGGATCTTTTGGACCGCATTTGTGACCTCCATCTTATCATGAGATAAGAGTTCCACTTCTCCAAAAAGAGATAGAGTATACCAAAAAATTAATGAAGAGTTGAAAGGAACATTGGGTTAGTTTTGGATGTTCCATCATGTCAAATGCTTGGATGAACAAGAAGCAAAGATGCATTATTAATTTTTTGGTGAACTCTTTTGTACGGACAATGTTCATCAAATCTGTTGATGGGTCTAATTTTGTGAAGACCGGAGAGAAGCTATTTGAATTGCTAGACTCTATTGTAGAGGATATTAGGGAGGAAAAAGTTGTCTAAGTCATCATGGACAATGAGAGTAATTATATTCTTGCTGACACGATGTTGGAGGCAAAACAAAAAGAATTTTTTGGACTCCATGTGCAGCTCATTGCATAAATTTAATGTTGGAGGACATTGGGAAGCTTCCCAATATCAAGAAAACAATTTAACGAACAATTTCTCTTGTTGGCTTCATTTATAGCCATTCAAACACCCTAAGTTTGTTAAGGTTTTATATAAACAAAAGGGAGCTAGTGAGGCATGCGGTGACTCGATTTGCAACATCTTTTGTTTCTTTGGAAATGATCCACCAAGAAAAATCAAATTTAAGAAAAAAGATGTTTGTTTCAGATGAGTGAAATTCAAACAAGTTATCAAAGGAAGCAAAAGGAAGAGAAACATGTAAAATTGTTTTAATGCCTTCTTTTTGGAAGAATGTAGTGTACATACTTAAAGTCATGACGCCTCTAATAAAAATACTTAGGCTTGTCAATGCTGAGAAAAAACCATCTATGAGCTATATAACACCATAAGCACCATGAAGCCATGGCCATGATGGATATGGCAGGCACCATGGTGGATATGGCGGATAGTGCCATATAACGAGAAATGATGGATAACGAATGGCGGAGGGGTTCAAAAACGCCATGTTATACCTTTATGGCCGCACCATAACAATTATTTAATAACATTAGGAACAATTCTATATTTTCAACTATTTTCTCCCCGATCAATTTATTTTCTTTGCTCGAATAGTTTAAATTAATATTTGGTATATGCCACATTATCCATGTACTAATATTCTACGTATCACTTGACTTTATTACTTGAAATGATCAATGCACATGTTTGCAATTGAATGTTTTGATTTTCTTAAGTTTATATACCTATCAAATCTTCATTAGTATGCGACCAGTATTCTTCTTACATGCATGGTTGCATTATTTTCATTTACTGCACTCAATTATCCTCAATCAATATTGCTCAGGAAAATAGTATCATTTTTTGTAGTCGTTAGTGCATGGCTTTTCTATTCCAAATTCGTATAGTTTCGTATCAATAATCAATAATAGAAATAAAAAGGAAGTATCTTCTTCTTGTCCTTTATGCTAGAGTGAGAGTGAATTCCATTAACGTCAATCTAAAGACCATAAAGAAGTGTTACTTAAGAGGTAATTTAAGATTGTTTTTGCTCTTTTATTTCAATTTTCAGTTGATAAATCTATGATACATGGAGGTTATTGAGTCTTTTGCAATATATTGAAAACTTTCTAAATAAAATTAATGGTAAAAAACATTGCATTCATGCCATAATTGAAGTAATAATGGATTGATTCGAATAAAGTTTTTACCTGTCGTTGGAACATCCCCTTCACAGTGGTGTTAAGATCTTGGTAGAAGAACAAATCCTCATTTGGATCCAACGAGACTTGAATTCCCAAAAAGAATTTGGCATCTATGACTCCTTGGGAGAAAATCTTCATGTTGGGGCATTCCCATATGATCACTCTTATCAGAGATGATAATAGCAGTGTGTCACTGCCTGAATAAAAACATGACAGGCTTGATAAGGAATCTAGATTTATAGTGTTGAGTCGCTCAAATCTTATCACCTCTGAAGTAGTTTCTTCTAGCCCTTTTGCCAATATTACTTCCACTAATTCACATTGCATTATGGACATCTCTTCAAGATGAACTAACGTTCTTGCAGTTGAGGATGTAAATAAGTACTTCAATTCTTGGCAATCTTTTATAGATAATTGTTTTAGATTGGAGAATGACAATGCAGAATGTACTAATGTTGTCAAACGAGGAAACGAGGAAACACATAACTTGTGCAGACAGACAAGGGACAAGGTCGTCGAGTGTCTGTGCACTGTGGTGTCACACTCACTTTGTTCAGGTTGAGAGGGGAACAACTCAAGAAAACTGAATCCACTTATTTTAAGACACTCTAAATTGGATGCGTTCACAAGTATCTCAACGAGAAAACTCGGTACCTCCTGGACATCTTTAAAATCCAGCTCAAGTTCAACTAATTTATGAAGCATGTCTCTCAAAATTTTTGTTGCATAGCAATAGCATCCTAGCGTTTTCCCAATCGAGCTTCAGTGACTCCAGAACGAAATTAGTCTAGTAAGGGAAGAACAAAATGACAACCAAGGGGCAAGGGGTGAGAAATAGGAAATAGAATATAACTTAAAAAAAACAAAATATAAAAGCAGATTTGGTTACAAACCTTTCCTTCCGAGAAAAGGGGTTGCTTATTAACTGAAGTAGAGGTTTGTGGCTCTTGTTGATTTTGAAATGTCTTCAATTTATCACAAAACAACACCTCTAAATGATTTAAGTCAGGGCATTCCAGAGTAAATCTTCCAGGATAAAAGCATGCTTGTGCTAGGAAGCACATGCTTGTCCATAAGCACGTTCGTATTTCCTAATTGTAATGAAGCAAAGTCATGTTATTTGTTACGATCGTATTTAAAAACCCACTATAATTTTGACGGTAAATAGGGAGCTCCAAACCAAGTTTTTATCACCCAACTATTGACTTTATTTTCTATATTTTTTGCTTTCTTGTATTTGTTATTGAGGTTCTGTAAGAAACTAAAAGTCAAACCCTTAAAGAAGAATTCTTTCAATTACTGTTTAATAGGTTCTAGCAACATGTCTAGCTAGTTTACCTTTTTTATGGTTGTGATGTAATTATTACTAGTGAACCCTAATGATGAATTCATGAGTTATTTGTTTTAACCGTTGTGAAATTTCGATGTAATTTAATCAATGATAAATTCTCTATCTATTTCTTTTAATAAGAATCAATTACTTAATTCATTATTATTAAAAATTTGTTTAATTTAATTAATAGCATTGAACATTCCCTAAATTTATATTTTTGAGTAAATTATACCTTTCTCTCTTGAAATATACAAATATTAAATTACCCTCCTTTCTTATGCTAAAAATTATAGTCCCTTTCCTCGACAAATTCTAATATATAATATTTTACCCATTTTTTAAATTTTTCGTTAAAATTTTGTTAACTTCCATTACAAAAAAATAAATTATTACCAAAACATCCTTTACACCACATTCCTTCGGAGATGTAAATATTACACTTCCTTCCCTTCTTATAAACATTTTCCCCCTAAAAAAATTTAAAGATGCTACACGTTAATTATATACATCTTAAAAAAAAATATTTTCATTATTATCTTTACAAAATATTTTTGAAGTTACCTATCAAAATAAAAATAATATATATATATATAATTTTAAAGATGTCCAGGAGGTACCGAGTTTTCTCGTTGAGATACTTGTGAACGCATCCAATTTAGAGTGTCTTAAAATAAGTGGATTCAGTTTTCTTGAGTTGTTCCCCTCTCAACCTGAACAAAGTGAGTGTGACACCACAGTGCACAGACACTCGACGACCTTGTCCCTTGTCTGTCTGCACAAGTTATGTGTTTCCTCGTTTCCTCGTTTGACAACATTAGTACATTCTGCATTGTCATTCTCCAATCTAAAACAATTATCTATAAAAGATTGCCAAGAATTGAAGTACTTATTTACATCCTCAACTGCAAGAACGTTAGTTCATCTTGAAGAGATGTCCATAATGCAATGTGAATTAGTGGAAGTAATATTGGCAAAAGGGCTAGAAGAAACTACTTCAGAGGTGATAAGATTTGAGCGACTCAACACTATAAATCTAGATTCCTTATCAAGCCTGTCATGTTTTTATTCAGGCAGTGACACACTGCTATTATCATCTCTGATAAGAGTGATCATATGGGAATGCCCCAACATGAAGATTTTCTCCCAAGGAGTCATAGATGCCAAATTCTTTTTGGGAATTCAAGTCTCGTTGGATCCAAATGAGGATTTGTTCTTCTACCAAGATCTTAACACCACTGTGAAGGGGATGTTCCAACGACAGGTAAAAACTTTATTCGAATCAATCCATTATTACTTCAATTATGGCATGAATGCAATGTTTTTTACCATTAATTTTATTTAGAAAGTTTTCAATATATTGCAAAAGACTCAATAACCTCCATGTATCATAGATTTATCAACTGAAAATTGAAATAAAAGAGCAAAAACAATCTTAAATTACCTCTTAAGTAACACTTCTTTATGGTCTTTAGATTGACGTTAATGGAATTCACTCTCACTCTAGCATAAAGGACAAGAAGAAGATACTTCCTTTTTATTTCTATTATTGATTATTGATACGAAACTATACGAATTTGGAATAGAAAAGCCATGCACTAACGACTACAAAAAATGATACTATTTTCCTGAGCAATATTGATTGAGGATAATTGAGTGCAGTAAATGAAAATAATGCAACCATGCATGTAAGAAGAATACTGGTCGCATACTAATGAAGATTTGATAGGTATATAAACTTAAGAAAATCAAAACATTCAATTGCAAACATGTGCATTGATCATTTCAAGTAATAAAGTCAAGTGATACGTAGAATATTAGTACATGGATAATGTGGCATATACCAAATATTAATTTAAACTATTCGAGCAAAGAAAATAAATTGATCGGGGAGAAAATAGTTGAAAATATAGAATTGTTCCTAATGTTATTAAATAATTGTTATGGTGCGGCCATAAAGGTATAACATGGCGTTTTTGAACCCCTCCGCCATTCGTTATCCATCATTTCTCGTTATATGGCACTATCCGCCATATCCACCATGGTGCCTGCCATATCCATCATGGCCATGGCTTCATGGTGCTTATGGTGTTATATAGCTCATAGATGGTTTTTTCTCAGCATTGACAAGCCTAAGTATTTTTATTAGAGGCGTCATGACTTTAAGTATGTACACTACATTCTTCCAAAAAGAAGGCATTAAAACAATTTTACATGTTTCTCTTCCTTTTGCTTCCTTTGATAACTTGTTTGAATTTCACTCATCTGAAACAAACATCTTTTTTCTTAAATTTGATTTTTCTTGGTGGATCATTTCCAAAGAAACAAAAGATGTTGCAAATCGAGTCACCGCATGCCTCACTAGCTCCCTTTTGTTTATATAAAACCTTAACAAACTTAGGGTGTTTGAATGGCTATAAATGAAGCCAACAAGAGAAATTGTTCGTTAAATTGTTTTCTTGATATTGGGAAGCTTCCCAATGTCCTCCAACATTAAATTTATGCAATGAGCTGCACATGGAGTCCAAAAAATTCTTTTTGTTTTGCCTCCAACATCGTGTCAGCAAGAATATAATTACTCTCATTGTCCATGATGACTTAGACAACTTTTTCCTCCCTAATATCCTCTACAATAGAGTCTAGCAATTCAAATAGCTTCTCTCCGGTCTTCACAAAATTAGACCCATCAACAGATTTGATGAACATTGTCCGTACAAAAGAGTTCACCAAAAAATTAATAATGCATCTTTGCTTCTTGTTCATCCAAGCATTTGACATGATGGAACATCCAAAACTAACCCAATGTTCCTTTCAACTCTTCATTAATTTTTTGGTATACTCTATCTCTTTTTGGAGAAGTGGAACTCTTATCTCATGATAAGATGGAGGTCACAAATGCGGTCCAAAAGATCCAATAGTTGTAACCATGTCATGAAAGCTCTCCAATTTGATCATGTTAAAAGATAGTCCAGTTTGAAACCAAAACCGGGCTATATATTGGTGGACCCGTGTTGTAGCTTCCTTGTCACAACGCTCCCTTATACTTATTTGTTTTAATTTCTCCTTCTTGTTTTTTGCAATTGTTATTTGTGGACGTTTACAAAAAAGGTCAATAGGCCCCTTTTTCATAGCAACCTTCTTCCTTTCACCGGTCCCAAGTGTCTCAACTTCTAATTCTCTTAGATCTCCCTCCAATATTAGTCTTCACTACCAAAAGTCACATCTTCCATTATTCTTTTCTGTTACGAGGACAGATATAAGATTGAAACATTGTCATCCTACCAAAGAGAATGATACAAATGAAATTGTTTATAATTATTCTAAAAAAATCATGAAAGGAGGAATTATAAGAGCAAAGCAACATCATCTTTTTTTTTTATATTTGTTTTCTTATTATTGTCTCATATTTTCTTTCGTTCTAGGTTGGTATAAGTGATCGTGGAACTAATTTGAATTTGTGTTCTCATTCATGTGAGTTTGACTTTTGGATGACCATTAAATTTTTGCTTTAATGGGACATACCTATTCTAGGAGATCTTTTGAAGTTTGAAGGTGAATTTTTTTAAAAGTCTCTACAAGTCCAATAGTAGTGTTTGATAAAAAGATACTCAACATGTTATTAACTCATTGTTCAATAGTCACGAGAGTATCATCCTTATCTCATTTTAAGAATAAAAAAATATTATAGTTTAAATTATAATTTTGGTTCTTTATCTTATTTTTAAATTTATTTTGATTTTTTATCTTTTAAAATATTCATTTTGATCCTTTATCTCTTAAATTTAAGTTAATTTAATATTTTATAATTTTGATTGATTTAAGACTTGAAACTTATCCCATAAAATTCAATTATACAAAAATTATTGAATGCAATTGAAGTTCAAACCAAATGAGTTATAAACATGGTGAAAATTAAAAAATTTCAAAAAAAATATCTAATTTGATATTATTTTGTAGTTGTTTGAGATATATACTTTTCACACAATTTTTATGATGTTTATAACTCTTTTAGATTTAAATGTCAATTGCATTTCATAGTTTTCATATAGATGAATATAATATTATAAGTTTCTCGGTCAAAAATTAATTCAAAATTATGTCACAAAATTAAAAATAATCATCGGTCAAAAATTAATTCAAAATTATGTCACAAAATTAAAAATAATCATTGTTTTAAAAGGCTAAATTGATTTCAATATAAAAAAATAAATAATTAAAATAAATATCTTAAAAGATAAAGAAGTAAAATAAATTTTAAAAATAAGAAAAAAGATACTAAAAGTATAAGTTAGCCAATATTATATTAATAAATACTAAATTAATAAACTAAAAAAATACTTCAAGAATCTATTCAATAATTAAATTATAATGGAGTTAAATAAATTAATATAATATTATATATTAACTAATCAAATCCAAGATCAAATTAAAAAATATTATGCGAGTTTATTTTTCTAATGAATAATAATTTTAATATTAATAAATATAAATAAATAATTAATTAAAAATTTAAAACTTTTTAAATCTCAAGTTTTTATAATAAATAAAAAATATTTCAATGATGATTTACAAATACTGTTATATATGTGACACACGCAATATATATATATATATATATATGCTACAATATAAGAAAGCTAGATATTCGACTTTATGAAGAGGTTGTATATTATACATGTTTTCATTTAAGAATAAAGTTTCAAAATTAATATCTTAGTGTGGATAATTCTTAAAATTTAGAGTAAAAGTGGCAAACCACAATGACAAAAAAAAATACAGATATCTATAATAAATAAATTATAAAAGTCTAATTAAATATTAACTAAAACGTGCTACAATAATTGATTAAATCTCTTTACTCTTATAAAGATTAATCCTTGCATTAAAAAAAATATTGAATAAAACATACACGAACGGTTAATATTAAAGCTATAAATTTCGGGTTAATATCATCATTGGATAATTTGGATTTATTAAGTCAAATTATCTTTAAATTAATTAAACAAATCAACATGATCAAATACTTAATTAAAACGCTATCTATAATTAAATTCGAATAACTCCAAAACACTTTAACTTATTTCTTCCTTGGTTGTCGTTAATTTTTATTGGTTTAATGGCCCTAATTTTACGGTTTTTCTCTTTTTAATTATAGTCAAATTAAAACGCAAATTTTGGTTTCTTTATATTTTATTCGAGCATGATATTTTCAATATTTTAATTATAAAATTTTGATTCATCTGTTATATTTAACAATAATACTGAGGTTTGTAAAAACAAAATAATAACACTAATGTGACACTCTGTTACATCATTTGTATTTCTATTAAATAGTAAATGTTAAATTAATAAATAGAGTGATAAATTAATGTTTTCCTTTTTCATCGAATTTAAATTTCAAGTGTATAAGAAATAATTGATAAATATTTAACTAAAAAGAATTAAGAAGTTATGCCTAGTGTTATTTCTCCAGCAATATTGAGATAGTTGAACTATCAAATCAAGAAACTACTACCCTTCAATGGTTCTTTCTTGGTCATTATTGTAACACTTATTGCTACTGTAGTCATTCCCATATGTCCACACGTTCTTCAATATTCTTATGTATCTAAAGCTGTTAGTTAGGAAAGTCTTGTACTACTACATATCAATGAAGAGGCAGTTAATGCATAAATAATTGAAAAACCTACTGCACAAGTTTCTTAGATTTTCCACTACGTTGAAATTCACTTCTCTAATGCCAGCCTCACAAACATGTGCTTCTGATGTTTGTCCCTTTGACCTTTGATGCCCTAACACTGTTTATCATAAAAGAACATGAGAAATTATGCAATGATCCAATCATTATTCCTTTTTACTGTATATACCAAATCAGGTTAAATGTTCAAATCCACAAATAATCTATTCACATGCAATGCACAACACATACTTGCACAGTAGAAGAGATAGGGAGATATAGATAATTGCAAACATTACAACTAAGGATCTAACACTTGATAGATAGTTGAGTAGAACTCACTTCGGTGATCCCTCAAATTAAGAATTTAATCTTTGGCACTATAAAAAAATTGTTTATTAGCTATCCATTTCTAATGGAAATTATGTTCCTTTTCCTATTGTGTTGAATTCTGACGGTTTAAAAATATTAACACAGAGGTTTTTACATTTGGTGTATTATTTTTTTCCCCTTTAAGAATTACGGCCTTTGATATTATTATGGAACTGGTGGACACTTTTTATAGAGGCAGTAAAAGGTTGGTGCGAACCAAGTTGGTCTTGGTAGCAAACCAACTATTAGAAGGGTCTTTCGAATGAAATAATAGAGTGAAGTTAGAACTAATCAAGTCCAATTGCAAATAAGTAAATCACAAGTCATTGGAGAAGTTGTTACTATGCTAGAGGCACTTATCACTAGTGGAAATTTTTTTAAAAAATCGTTTATTTTATATTTTTAAAATCAGTTAAATAATTGATTTTTAGAAGTTGGAGTTTTAAAATCAATTATGAAATATTCAATATTAGGTTTTAAAATCGATTATATCATAACTAATTTTAAATTTTAAATTTTTAAAATTGATTATATCATAATTAATCTTAAAAATAGTAATTTTTTTAAATATTTAATTTATTTTTGGAGTGTCTTAGAACAAAATCTGCAAATTAATACATACAAGGCAAAATATCATTATTATTCAATATTTATTTTTTATAATTAATTTCATATAAATGAAAGTCGTTAATCAATAAATATTAAGATTGGACATAAGCTTAAAAGGCAAAAACAAACTAACTGAGCAAAAGAAGTATACGATGGACAAGACATTCTAACATCATGAGATCAAGGGGTTACAAAGCAAGGGATAATAATACATTTAAATTCACAGAGGACATGCACAGAACTAAACAGTAATGCGACTACACAGCTAAAAAAAAAAAAAATTTGAATTAGTCAAGGGACTAACCTTTAGCAAATGATGGATTGACCTTATGACAAACATTTTGTCCATGTCCTAGTTGTCTCCTCTCAACAACATTATTACGGGTCCCTCCTTCATTTAACTTATTAGTTGGAGAGTGATGACTTCCTTCAAGTTCCCCTACTTCAACCAAATGTCCATCAAAATATATTGATTCACAAAATAAGAAAAATGCTAATTTTTGACGGAAATTTCTGACGAAAATAAGTAAATTTCTGACGGATTTTACTTTTTTCGATAGATTTCCGACGAATTTTAATCCGTCGGAAAAAGTGACGAAAAAAAAATTCGTCGGAAATAATTTTTCTGACGGAATTTTCCGACAGAAAATTTCGTCAGAAAATTCTGTCAGAAATTTTCGATGGAAAAATTTGTCAGAAATTGCTGTCAAAATTTTTGACGGAAAAATCCGTCAGAAATTATAATTTTTTTTATAATTTTAATAAATTTATTAATGTAACAACTCTCATATTTGGCCTCTCAAGGGTTCTATTTCACAATATTTCACTGTTTAGCGTGTTTTATCCTTACTTGTGCAATTTCTGGGAGACTTCCCAGAAGGTCACCCATCCCAGTACTACTCCAGGTCAAGCACGCTTAACTGTGAAGTTCTGATGAGTAAGCTACCGAAATGTCTATGTATGTTGTCAGTATAACTTGTACAAATTAATTCATTTAAGTCATCCTCAAATATACAATCTCATATTTGTACTATAATAATAATATATAATAATTTTATATTACGAATAATAATAATAAATCTAAAAATATATATTAGATATTAAAAACAGATTTATATCATAAATAAATTAAACTTTATTTTTATAAATTTAACATATAGATTTTTATATTTTTAATAGTGTTAAATTATTATAAAATAAGTCTATATGATTGTAGTTCTACCCAAATATTTAAAAATTATCTATGATAGATAAATAAGTCACACTTAAAATATATATTTTTAAAGAAAGTTAGGTTCAAACCAAGTAAATTATAATAAAATATAGTATAACCTAATTTATTTTCATCTTTAATACTAATCGTAGATATAAAAAACTTGTAATAAATAATTATAATATATATTCATACCTTTAAAAGATATATAAAATTTTTAATACTACAAATATATATAAGAAATTAAAAATAATAAATTAAAAATAAGAAATTAAAAAAAGAAATTAAAAATAAAAATTAAAAATAATAATTAAAAATAAGATTTCCGACGAAAAATTCCGTCGGATTTATTTTTTCGTCGGAAATTTTCGACAGAATTTTCCGTCAAAAAGTTTCTGTCAGAAATTTCTGACGGATTTATATTTCCATTGGAAATTTTCGACAGAAAATTTTTGACGGAAAATTCCGTCAAAAATTTCTGACGGAAATATAAATCCGTCAGAGGAAATTTTCCGTCAGAAATTTACATTTTAGTGTCACCTGCCCTTATAACTTCGTATTTCTTTAAGAGTCTGGGTTCTAAAGGTCTTCTACTCAAATCACGTAGAACAGCCTGAAAAAAATAACATTAAATGAAGCATAATTAATAATTTAACAATGTCACATTCACACATACACACATAAATTTAGGTTGTGTTTAAGTAAACAACTTAGTTAAGCACTTATTTGATAAGCTTTTATCACATCAACATGAAAACTTATTCATAAATTTAACCATTAAACTTGCTAAAATAAGTTAATACAAGCACATATGAGTCATAGGTCATTTTCATAAGCTCATATAAATTCCAGATCCTCATCCAAGGATTCAGTTTTAAAGTAAACAGAAATTGAAAACAAACTGATCAAAAATAAAAAGCGAGATACATGATGAATTGAAGAGGTAAAAAATAAAATTATATATAGCAAGTGTGAAAAAACAAAAATTAACCTACTTCTCAAAAGATCCACAAAGTTCAATTTGTAAAAAGTCTTCGTGATATTTCTTGCTTTTTTGAGTTAATTGTGTGGTGTATAGGACCTGTCATTCTAAATTGAAAGAAAAAGATATAAGTGAACAATAAATGAAGATGAAAACAACGAAAATAATCAAACTAGAAAACAAATTCAACCTCTAACATGATGAACTTAATTTGTATTCTAAATCCACTATATATATTAGATTAACACAGTTGGCTAAATAGAACAGCTAAATTCATCATTGTGATTTGTAAAATTATATGAACCAAATATAATTAGAACCTCTGTGTTAATATTTCTGAACCATCAGAAGTTAGCGCAATAGGAATTAAGCTGAAAACAAGATTCAAACAAATTAATTTGGGAATATAGAAATTAAACTATAAATACCTTTTCGTGTGCTGCTTCCTTGTTTTATATAAAACCTCCCCCTATGCAAAAAGAGAATTCAAATACATGATTCAATCAAAGACAAAAAAAACACCATGAACAATATATAAAAGGAACCAATAATGAACTCACTTGAAAGGTCACGAAAACCCTAGATACATTAGGCGATGCAACCTTCACTTCATTTAGAAACAACTGGAAGCATCTGAAATGGGAAGAACAATATAATAAAATCAACGAAAATAGAGAGAAATGGATGTGACTCCATGTTCGAAAACTCACCTTAATTAGATTTGATGAATGAAATCAAATGAATGTAATTTGAAATTGGTTGAATTTGAAGTGCACAGAGAGTACAAACTTTGTTCAAAGAGTGACTTACGTTTTTGATTGCTGAACGAAAGAGGTGTCTTTTATTATTTTTAATTAATTAATTTTTTTTTAACGTGCATGTGTTAAGTTTTTTTTTATAAAAAAAAAAACTTGTTAAGTAGTTCTTTTAATAACGTGATAACACGAAAGATAATAAGTGACATGCTTGATCCAATAAATAGGTGACATGTACCTATGAGACCTATCATGTGTCGACAACAAAGGGAAAAAAATTATAATATTGTGGCAATTTTAAATTGTCATAATTTGTGTTGCTTAAAGAAAACTGTCAAAATTATAATAGTTTCTGCTTGTTTATTAGGACCGTAAAAAATTAACCGCTAGTAAACAAAAAAAAATAATATATATATATATATAGATTGCATGAAGATAGGGACATAAACTTAAAAATGTGAAAAAAATTAAATCAATCTCAACTTATGATCAATTTTATCCAAATTAAAAGAATTTAATTCATTGTAAAAAAATTAAAAATATATATATATATATATATATATATATTGTTTTGAAAGAATTTATTTATTATAATTATTGTTGTAACGAGTATTGAAAATTACCAAGGAAGTTTAACTTGGTTGAATATGATGCATGAGTGTTTCAAACCTCTCCTAGTCTCCTTAGTATCCATGTTCTATTCTCATATATTAAAAATATATTGAAAATTGAAGATACATAAAGGAGAATGAGTCTCTAAATTTCAAATTTCCATTATAGCTCGATCTTTATTATCTCAAATTATTCTCTAACTGTATTTTTTTTTGTTTACACTCTGTTTTATACTTTTCTTTGTGTATGAATATGACAATTCATTAGACATGAATTATTGTTATTTTATGTTTATAAATTTTAAATTTAAAACACATGTTTAGTTATTAAAAAAAATATTAAAGATGGTCATTGATCAATTTTTTGATAGAGACTTATTATGGACCAAACCGATGATATTTTACACCAATAAAATTTTACAAAAATATCAAATTAGTATATATTGAATAAAAAAATCCAAAGAAAATTAGGGAATTGAGTAAATGCGTTTACATGGCTTCACTATACACTACATCATGCATAAAACTCTCACGTCCATAAAGTAGTCATTTACATATAAAAGCAAAACCAAATAATTGTTTTTGTTGAAGAAAAAAAATGCCTGAAAAGGTAGCAATGTAAAGTTATGGAATACACTTTCCAAGTTTGGAACAATATCAGAAGGCGAAGGACATAATTATTTGGCCACTACATGTAAAATACTTGTGTTAACGTGTTTGCATAGTGAGTGACGTTGATCATTTGATACATACCAAAGGGAATAAAAAGGAAAAATTAGATTGAGTGATTGAGAAGATAGTGAGTGAGTGAGTGAGGGTGTTTGGGAAACACTCAAGTTCTATTTTGACACTCACCTTTGCATAGGAAAGGAAGGCCCCATTGGGCTATTATTGGCGATCCATGTCCCGTACTGTGCGGGGATTTTGTCGCCTTCATCCAATCACTTCGTCCCATTCCCCTTCAATCTTCGTTATAAATTAAATACCAACATAATATTGTGTGTGTAAAAATGTACCTCATGATTTTTCAAAGTTATACAACAAATGTGATTCCTAAATCAAGTTTTATATTTGAGTTTCCTTGAGGCACCCCAAACAAAATAAATAAATAACATGCATGAGATTCAATGATTACTAGTTTTCTTTTACACTCTATAAGGGTGAATCATGTTAGGGAATAAAATTAATATAGATAATAAAACTCTTTCATTAAATATTTAACATAATTATATATTTAGAATTCATACATGAAATTACTAATTGAATTGAAAAAGCTCTCTACCAGTTGATTCATATACTCCATAGTTAAAAATTACTTTCTTTGTTCCAAATATTTATTCCTTTTAGTTCTTGTTTTGTCTCAAAAATAGTTGTCTTTTTTAATTTTAGTTAATACTAGTATTTATTTCTCTCAATTATACACTAATTAAAAAAATACCATTAACTATTTAATTTTTTTTTTTTTAAGTTTAAACAACAAAATTGAGATACTCTTCGTCTCATAATAAATGTCATTCAAGATTATTTTACATAGAAAAGTCAATAACTAGATGGGAGAGAATAATAACTTTACCAAAATAACTTTATCTTGTAGTATCTTCTTTGCTATTAACGATGTAATACAATAACTATTTTCTAACGAAAATTATGAGAGTTATAAATGAAATTTTTTTAATTAATGCTACAATGAAAAAGTTAACATAACTGTTATTTGAAAACTCTTTTTTTTTTCAAATGCAACAATTAATTATGATGGAAATGAAGAGAATATTAAATAAAAACTTATAGTCTACATTTACTTATATTAAATATACTTAAATGTATTTTAAGTGTATTGAATTTAAGATAAATTTATTTTTGTTCTATTAAATTTAAAAATTATTTTTTAGTTCCTATAATTTTTAAAAATATTATTTTAATCTCTTATGTCACCAATAACTTATCTAAATATGCTGGATTGAGACAATTATGCAATATCAACTGAGTTTAATGTAATATTTTTATTAACAAAGATATTACATAGGTAGACTTTATGCAATAATATTTGATAAATTCTCTAATAAAATTTGAGTATAAGAACTAAAATAAAATTTTTAAAAATTCTAGAGACTAAAAAGACCAATTTTAGAAGATGCTTAGAGCATGAGCAGATAGCCCATGTCATGGAGATGATGGTTATGGTTATGCAACAACATAATGCCTACTTTGCTAGGATGGATGCTGAGAGAGCTGCAGCTAGTGTAGCAAGACCAGTTGGGTCATAAGAGAGTCGGGACTTGGCTGAGTTCAGGACGTGTAGTTATTGTAACGTAGTTAGTAGACTGGAACGGGACATTCCTAAATTGGAATGGGTCGTTCCAAACTACTAAATAGGCCTATGAATTTTGGACTAGAACGGGTTGTTCCAAAATGGTCATTGTGAGTTAAATTCCACTCTAGAACGGGCCGTTCCGATTTTAGAATGGGCTGTTCTAGACGTGCCAGAACGGGCCGTTCTGCATGTAAATTTTACACATGATGAAGGAGCCTAGAACGAGCTGTTCCGGATTTAGAATGGGCCGTTCTGGCCAATTCAGACTTCTATAAATAGGACTTGTGGGTAGTTGAGGAGAAATGGAGGTTTTAGAGAGAAGGGCTCTGATACCATAAAAGTGTAATGACCCGCCGTGGCCGTCACACTACGAAACAACACTACACACTACTAGAATATATATACTAAAATAGTATAATAAAATATTTACAACACAAGTTACTACTCAAGCAACCAACAAACAATCAATTATATACAACAAAGTATGCTACTATAAGGTAGCCTAAAAAGAATATACATCTTCAGGCACCTCCTGTGACCTCTAGCAGCTATCTCCCAGCCTATCCCTGCCCTGCTCCTATACAACATATGATCATCGCAGTTCAAATCACATGGAAACATGCAAGGGTAAGCTAGAGACAATAAACAACTCATAAATATCAAATATGCAACATAACAACTATATAATCATCTTCACATCCGACATAGAAGACAAACAACACATATATTACACATCTTTCAACAACATATGTTTAAAACAGCTTTCAACATAACAATACTATCATCATCCTCAACAGGGTCAACATACAACACAATCACATCTTAACAACATAACAACATAGATACAAACTCTTATCAACAACAAATCAACTCATCAACAACTTATGCGTCGTCACACATTTCAACTTGGAGATCTCCAACAACTGAGGTTGAGCAGTCTAGGTGGCATAAACCCTACCGAATCCAGCGTTTGACCTATCTCAACCAGGTCAGGTATAGAACAACGTTAGGAACTCCGAAGAGAACCAGGTTTAAACAACAATAGGCGATTGCTCAGGTGTGCCACTTAGACTAGGAGGTCTAGTACTACTGTCAAGACAGAAGGGTTTGGGTATGAGCCTACCACGGCCTTGGCTAGCATCACCAATCCACATATGGAGTTAGCCCACCCACTGTCCTCCAAGTACCACGCACCCTTCAGTGCCTAGTCAAAAACTACATCTCTAACTAGATACCTTACTCAAATTGGTCATTCAACCATGACATGGATCGACTACTTCCATGTCGCCCACACAATAATAAGGGATTCAAATTTAAAACAACTTTCAACTTATCTCCTTAGTACTATGTATCTCAACATAGGACATATATCTTCATCATATGTTCCCAACTTTTCAACTTTACAATAATAGACACCATAAAAACTTTACAACAATAAATATCTGACCGCTTGTAATCGGTATAGCTCGGCCTGACCCCTATACCGTGGTCGCTTTGTACACGTGTGCCTCGACCTTGCCCACACACGGGATCAACTAAGTCCTAGAGGAGAACAACATAACATCCACTCCAAGGGACAGCTTCCCAAGGAGGGTTTTTCAACAAATTGGGCTCTTAGAGCACCACAACTATCTCAATCCACTCAATGGGATGAGCAACTTCGAAAACATCTCCCCTAGTCCTAGTAATCAACAACTCATCATCACAGCTTAACAACTTAAACAACATACAACTTTTCAACTCATCATCTCAATCAACATTCAACTTGAACAACATAGTTTATCAGCACAACAACTCATCAACATTGTTTAACAGCACATCTAAACAACTCAACAACTCATTTCAACTTTAAACAACACAATATTAGCTCAACTCATAATTTACAACTCAATCATCATAAGGTAATCTCTTTTCAACACATGGCACAACATACAACTTTATAGTAACATACAACTCTCCTCTAACAACTTAACAACACAGTCTACTAATAACGTACATCTATATAAATCTCATTTACATCCCATCTCCATCATGAAAGCATCACCAACAACATCATTAATAAATATTTAATCATATATTAGCAACACACAACATTTTCACCTTGTAACACAACTCATATACAACCAACAAATTTACAATCTAACTTCCTTTACCTGAAGATTGGCTCT